TCTCTCTCTCTCTCTCTCTCTCTCTCTCTCTCTCTCTCTCTCTCTCTGTCTCTCGCAGTGTGAGAGTAGTCCAGTGCTTTTATCGTCTAGACTTTAATCAGCACATTGCAATTCGCGAAATTGAGATGTCTCAATTGGCGGAGACATTAATTATTAAAACGAACGAGCGGAAAACGAATCGCGTCGTTTCTCAAGACGGTAGCGTGAAGATTCCAGGAATGAGAAGAGGTTCGTAAGAGAGCTCGTAAGAGAAATGCGTTCGACGCGATAACGCGAACACGAAGTGAAGAAGCTCGAACACGTTGTACCGGGAAAATTACGAGGGCCGTCTCGTGCGTATCGCCGCGCGTCTTGACGGGAGATCTTAATTGGGTTTGTAAGACCCCGCGGAATGCGGACGACGGCTCTCTCGCGTAATTGTTTCCGCGCATACCTACGGTATGCCGCCATATATGCGCGAATCGTATAACTATAATCGCACGTTGGACTCTCTCTCCCTCCACCTCTCTCTCTCTCTCTCTCTTCCTCCTCCTTCTCCTTCTCCTCGCTTTAGACGTGAGATTTTTGTATGCTGCGAGAGCACTCGATGCGACCGACCAGCGAGATTAATATCTAAGACGATATAATTACTTTAATCTTCTCATCTAGAAATCATGCTTATACATTTAAGAGCGACTATTGAGAATTCGCCGTGAAATTAATATACGTATATGTAATTTAAGTCTTAAACAGGCATATGGACGATATCAATATGAACTAAGCATCCGTGCGAAAATAATTTAATAAAATAACATTGATTTTTCCCATATACTTGGGAATAGACTACGCACTCTTAGAGGACGGCTGATAACTAGATTGAAGGACAGAGATATGCTGAATCAAATACTTCCTCCGTTAGTATTCCAAGGCCCGTATTAATAATTATTACTTGAAACTTGTCTTAAATGAAATATTTAGATTGGAATGTAGAGTGAAATGAGAATCTTTCAGTTGAATCGCGATTATAGATACACAAATGTTACATATATGTTTCAACCGAAAAACTTGCCAAGTTCATAAATTAGTGTGGGTGAAGCTTGTCACTTAGAGCCGATTTCCGAATAGTAGTTTACAGCTAACTTAGTTTGAAGTTTAAACTCTGCTTAACATGTTCGCCAGCGCCACACATATGTGACGCACCAATCTCTCGCTTCAAGTGCATCTTTATTCAAAATTTTCGATTTTATTCGACATGTTCGCTACCAATGTATGTGTGTGACAACAATATTTTCTTTTGTGTATTCGCATATGTATAAATAGAGTCTGTTTTACACAATTACATGAAAACAAATTCAAAGTGATTTGTGGAAAGAATGCTCCAAATAAATCGTGGTAACGAATGTGTTGAACACATTATTGAAAAGGAGTTTAAATCAATATTGAACTCACTATTGAAAAATCGGTCTTTAGATCGATCATCCATTCGATATTTCGCTTTCGAAGCTGAAATCTGCGATTCGAGCAGGCTAACGCGAGAAACTTATTTCACACAGAGTTCGTAGACGTCGCTTCTCGACGAAGCACACAAGCGCGCCTACGCCCCCGTTTGCGTTCCTTGAGGTGGCCACGACCGTTCGACGATTAATCGCGGAATAGATCGCGATCCGCGGATTGACGGGCCAATCTCATAGAACAAGCGCTCATCTCGTAATTTACACCGTAAGAGGCTTACGCTCCGTAAGAACGGTCGTCCGTCGCCGAGCAGGGCGACCCATCTTTCCTCTTCCTTCTACTCCTGCTTCCCTTCATTCTCCTCTTCGTCCTTCTGCTAAGCCGCGCATTTAAATTCATTGAAGGCAGAAATACAACGTCGAATAAATCGCCACGATGTCAGGCGCGCTGAAATACGCCGCTTTGCATGCTGCGGCTCTCTTTCTCTCTCTCCCTGTCTCTCTCTCTCTCTCTCTCTCTCTCTCTCTCTTCTCTCTCTCTCTCTCTCTCTCTCTTGTTGCCTATATTATCCCGCACCGATGCTCCCGCGGGCGCTATCTCTATCTTCTACCCTGCGGCTCTCGAGGGAGCAAAATAGAATTCTCAGTTTCAATTCTACGACCTCTCTCTCTCTCTCTTTCTCTCTGCCTCTCCTCCCTTCCTCACGCGCCCTGGTATCTCCCCGGTTTTCTCCCTTCGTCTCGAGATAGTCCGAGACACTCGCCGTCGACCCTCGTCGAGAGCCATCGCCGCCGTCGTTCCGCCTCCGCTTTCTGCCCCTCCCGGGCAAATATTTTATCAGGCTCGATCGATACGCTGATACGATGATCTTCGAATTCCTCTGCGAGGCCTGTCCTTATCGCCGCCCGTGTATTGCGTGGGTAATGACAAGCTTGCCCGAGACGAGGCGATTGCAAGCGAGGGAGTCTCCCCGCGCGCATTCTCTCTCCGTCTATTTTTCGCCGGAAAATGCGTCCCACAGAAAGCGTCAAAGATTTCCTGGCATGGCACGTAATATTTTTGCCGCTCAAATTTTCGATGTACTCAACTTCATTCTCATATCGCACGTTAAGAATTGTTGGTCTTTAAAGGCGACTTTAATTTGCCCTTATGAAATCTCACAATGTATGAAGAAAATAAAAATTAGCCATGTGAGAAACCGTGAAAATGTATCGAAGGATGAGTCGGTGAGTCGGAAATCTTTATTCCTTCCACTGCTTTAGCGAATGTCAAATTAGAATCGCATTCGATCCATCGTGATAATTAAGTGTTACAGCAGGCGAACATCCAATTGTGTTGACACACAGCGCATACACACATACACATACACACACATACTTTCGTGCGTGTAGAAGTTGAAAACAAATTCCCTCCGTGCCTTCTGCTACTTTAGCAAGACACTCGCGTCGGAATCGCATTTGATGCATCATAGCAATTGAGGGTTAAAGGCAAACATCTCGTTGACGCGAAACACGTTTCGAAAATCCCTCCGGCTTCGATCATGACAGCGGAAAGCTCCGGCAGAGAGCGAGAACGAGCGGACGAGCGAGCCAGCGAGCGAGCGAGAGAAAGGGAATGTTCGATTCCTCGTTTTTGCGCGCGTTCAACACGCCATCGCGAGTTATTCCCGTCCGATTAATCCCTTCGTGCCCGGCAGCACCGTGATTGGCACGCACGATTGTAACGCGATGTTACGAGCTTCGAAAAGCGTCGGATTAATCTCGATGGGTGGATGGATGGATGGATGGATGGATGGCAGGCGGGCGGGCGGGCGAGCGAATGGACGAGTGGACGGGTGGACGAGCGGGCGGGTGCGATCGAGTTGATCATCCACGCGCGCACGCGAGATAATACGGCGACTTAATGACGATAATCAGTGGAAAGTGACTGTGAATTGTACGCACGCTCCTACGCATTTGGAAAACGTGATATTATACGCAACGCCGCGGTTGCGTGATGTGTTATTATTTCGTATGTTCTATATATCCTGGCATATATATTATCATTCCTCTCTATGTTGTCGTCATCATGTGTCCTCTCTATGTTTATCGCTATCTCTGTCCTTACTGATTTTGCCGTTGCGTCGTTATACCTCGGATATGTCCGTCGCGATTGACTCGTCACAAAAATCGAAAGTCGAGCTTCCTGCTCTGTTCTCGAAGGGCAAGTCGCGAAAATTGCCGAGAAAATCGATAATGCGAATAGAAATCCCTCTCGCCGTGTATCACGTTCGAGATATAAATTCGGGAATATTTTCCATGGGATATCTCTTCCATTAGTTTCGCGGGAACAAGCAAAGAATAGACGAGACTGCGCGGGCCTCAGGGCCAGGAGGACACGGGATATAATCCCGCTGTCACATGCAGACGTCGTCTTCTTTCCTCGCGTTTAGCGTGCGCGTTTCTTGGCCCTGTACCTCGTTAATGGGGCCGAGCCCCGTGCAAGTGACGTTCGGTTGAACGGCTTAATTATCAGCCGGCCGCGTGCGCTCGCGCGGCTTCTTCCGTAAGTGAGCGCCATTAGGCGACGCAGGTGTAATGAACTAGTCTAATGAGCGCGACCCGCAACTTCCTTCCTCGCTCTATTGCATCCCGATTATAATAACCTGCCGGTCGTCCGCGATCTTCGCGATCCTCGCTTCAATAATATCGTCGTAGTAGCAGGTTGTCGTCGTTATCGTGCTGGTGATGATCGTCATCGTCCAGCCGCATCACTGATTAGGTTACTCCGAAGTTTTACGGTATCAGCGTGAAGCCGAATTGCAAGTATGAAAACTTTCAGGAGAAGCTCGTCAGGTTTCAAAAATCACCGGCGCGCATGACGAGTTAAACAACCAAGCGAAATATTCCGCACTGCGCTTCTTATAAATATGCGATCCTATCTCTTTACTATACCTCATAATTGTACTTTTTATTTTAATTACATGATAATATTGCACTGTGATATTTTTGCTATTTTTGAGAAAAATTTGCTATGTTTCTTAACAAAATACTGACAGTCTATTCCTGCTATACTACTACTAGAAAAAACATAGTAAAATCGACAATAAATTCTATGTAAAAAAAAATCTGTTCTCTCTCTCTCTCTTTCTCTTTCTCTCTCCCATGTAAATCTAAAGCGAAATATTTGAGACGCGACTCGGTTTCCAGCAATGATGATTACGATAACATCCGGATTGACAATAATAATCGTGTGCAACTGAAAATGAATTTTTGTAAACATCATATATCGTTATTTCCTCGTTTGTGTTTTGCAGTTACGGCAAACCATCCACCGCAAAGACCGTGGATTCCACTGACAAGGCCCAACAGGACGAGACCAACATGTAAGTACACCATCGAGTCGTTCAGTTTAAAAGCGTTTCTCGAAGAGGAGACGGTCTCCCCTTAATTTGCGGAGGTATCAATCGCGGGTGTGAATGGATTTAATTCGCGTTGTAACTCACCGCCGGTGAAGCACTTTCACTGGCACTCGCGCGTTCTCCCGCGTTTATCCGGGCCGCGCGTTGAATCAATATACAGCATTTATTATTGTAACGCGTGTACGTACGTGGTGTTTTAACGGACGGCGGTAACGGGCGAGTCCGAGGGAAAACATATGGCCGCTCGTCGCTTACCCAATGGTGAGTAATGCAACATCGTGACAATCGCACGGGCCCTCGCAGATGCTGCACACCGCGGACGCAACGCGGCGCGGCACGTCGGTGAGTCAAAATACGAGACGTGGCGAATGCGTGCGCCGTAAAACAAATTGCGATTTACGTCGGCGGTAATAAATACACGCGCTGAGGCCACGTCGCGACACGACACGACACGCGCTCGACGCTATCGAATTTACTGAGGTCGTTACTTAACGCGTCGAACGGCCGAGATGGAACGCGAGCGTGTCCGGTACGTCGTACTTCTTCTCGTCGTTCCCGACGCACCAGGCTCTGAGTCTGATCAGTTCTCATTTTCATCATTACCATCAGAATATGTTCTCCCGTCGCAATAAAATTATTATACTCCGTTTGTGCTCATTTTCATTTCACAACTTATGTAAAATAATTGATTGGGAAGGATGGAAGTGAGTAAATGAATGAAATCATTTTCGAATTTCTCAAGGTTGTGTCTGAAAGTTGCGCTGGCGGGGTGCAATAATTTTTCAAACTCATGTTGTCACGTCAGCTGTGAAATGGTAGAAGGCGGAGAATCGATTTCTCGCGTGTCAGTCTCTTTCTGCGCGAGACAACGTGGCCAAACGAAAACCTCCGTTGATCGCCCACGTCTATTAAGGGTTCACGCTCGTGCTGAGGCTCGCGTAAATCCCGGAACCAGCGTAAATTCGCCTTAACGTACCCTCGCCGGACGACGTTGGGCAACTTGACCATCGGTCAACGCCGTCGCTGACGAGTTTCGCAGCCCCGAAGCGCCGCGTCCTACGTATACTACTCGCCGCGTTGCATCCCGCCGACGGCTATATACCGCACCATCTGGACAGATTTATTGCGGCGGCGGTGGCGGTAGTGGTGGTCGAGGTAGCAGGAAGGGTGAAAGAGGGAGAGAAGCGTACAAACGGCCGGCGCACCGCCGGTGGAGACTGCCGTCCAAAGGGAAGCCATTGTCGGCGCTGGACGCGATAAATCATTTCATTACGGTTTACGCTGTTCATTATTTACGAGATGGCCCCCGCGCGTTATACTCCGGCAATGTGTGCTCGCTGATGAGCTGTACCGTTCGTTAAATTATTTACCGTGTCGCAATATCTTCAAGAGAAGGCTCTCGAGGAGCCAGCGGAGAAACGCGTGTAAAGTTAACCCTATATTTTCATAATTTTATGAATTGATTAGAGTTTGCGAATCCCCAGCGAAGAGTTCTAGGATTCTCAATCTTAGATGAGAATCCATCAAGCTGGAGAGCTCTATTGGTTGCTTGCGAGATAATATATGACTAGCCCGATATTGCGAATTTTTCATATTTTTTGGGTTCACATTCGTTTGTCGAATACGTAACTAGTGTACGCGAGCCCGACGATACGTGCATTTACGATATAATTTATAATGACCACCGCGTGTAATATTCATTCTCGACTGCATCGAATCACTCTTCTGTCGGCCACGCGTGCGCAACGGTAACTGGTGGTTTATTAATGTTTAAAGACGCACTGCGGGAAATGGCTGATGATTTGGCGTATAGCTGACTTTTACACGAAAACATTACACTTTATTCCAAAGAGCGGCCCCATTACATTCTGGGTAAATTGCGGACGCTTCTGCTGCCAAGTACAGTCTTCTAAAACGCGCTCGTGTAATTCCCGCGAGCGAGCCTCTCACGTACTGGGTGTATCGTAAAGCACGCGGCAGTTGGAACAGAAACGCGTTCTCCCGAGTGAATTCGTAGGTGACCTTCTCTCTTCCTCTCCTTCTCCCTTTCCCAGCGGAAACTCGATTCGGGATACGCGAAACACGTATCTCTTCCATAATCCGCTATTATCGTTAAAATTAAAAGACCGATAAGCGAAAGTTTATTCGATATTGACTCAGAAGTATTATATTTCCGTTTGCTAATTACAGAAAGTTAATTAACGCGATCGCCGATAGAGCAATATCAGCATAATCTCACAAATCCTAATAATATATCCAATTATCGTATTACTAGTTATGATACAAGAATATAAAGAGTATCGAGAGAAGAAATATTTAAAGAATAGTAAATATTTCAGGCACCATATGACATATTTACTTGAATCTAAATCCTTTGATCTGAGTAGAAGAAACGATTGCTTTTCCGTGAAGATCTTTTGAAGGTCTTAAGAAAATGTATATTCTCTTCTTTGACAAATATTTTACTAGTATAAGTAAAAACGTTATCAGTATCCACCGGTTTATTATTTCTTAGATGTTTTCCGTCGTTACAGCTTTGCCATCACAACTGCAATTTACACGAATGTCGCGGAAGATACCGACGATCGTCTAATTATTAGACACACCGACGGTGTGTCTAATAATCGCGAACGATCGGATCGCTTAGACTTTCACCAGAAAAGAGGGACTCCGCTCTCTTGTCGCCGTGGCGGCTCTTCATCACAGCACACCTTGTATATCCCGCGGGAAATCCGGTGTACGGTAAAGACGCGTCGGATTAGAACGCAGGCGTATTATTAGTAAATGGCCGTGATCGAATATTGTGCGCGCCGCGTGCTTGGGAGCGTACGTATTATATGAGAAAAGGAGGGGGAGGGAGAAAAGACGATTCATCGCCCTAACAAACGCAACGCGCGCGCGCGCGCGCGCGGCATCGTTACGATGGACTCGCCACGAATTACGACGGAGAGTTGTAATCGCTCAATGCCGCATTCGCAGCGAGGCTGCCACTTTACGAATACGGCGATTTAGGAATGCGGGCGCGAGCGAGGAGAGCGAACGAGCGATTACGCGAGCACGCTTAAAACCAATTTCTCGGCTGGGAATCGCCGTAATTATCGTGGGCGACGTTACGATTCGCCATATTACAATCGGGGTAGGTCGGCCTCGACTGCTGCCGCTGTCATCGTCCCCGTTAACTGCGCGACCGGCTGAATTGTTCTCGTGCCCGCGTTCACGCTGCGGAACGCGCGGAATTATACGGAATCTCTGTCGCTTGTGATAGGTCGACGCGTACGTGCGATCCCGCGGAATGACGCCGACGTCATCGTCTTCGTATCGTCCGAGATCAAATCTCGCGGGTGGCATCTTAGCAGGCGGACTTTTTCGACAAGTTTCGGGAGGATTAAGTGAATACCATGCTTTAAAACTTCAAAATTACAAATACTTTTATATAATAAATGAAAGTACAAAAATAAAATTGGAGCACTGCGTAATGCAGACGACAAAAAGTTTCAACAGTGATATCTTGAGTTAATGTTTATTTGAGTTTATCTACAAAAGTCTTGGAGTTTATATACTGAAACGTGTGTTTGCCCCTCTCAGGAAAATTTCAAAGAATATTGCTGTACAACTGAACCTTAGAAATGTACGAAAAGTTTGCAGAAAAATTTTTATATATGCATGGTTATGTTTTCCATTAAATATGCTAAAACGAAACAACAAATATATATATACTATTCGGCAACTTTTTCTTACTATTACTTTACATATTTCGCATTTGCGTTTGATATATTCCACGTGACCTTAGAAAAGCATGTCGATCATCCCGCTCCCTGATAAGGAAATTTTGCAACACATATCTCGCGAAGTAACGTGTGCTTAAACTTGTGCACTTGTTTGAGAATTAAGATTCGTACGAAACCAAATTAATAAATGCAAAAAACCAATTACGAATTATCTCAAACAAATGGATATTTCTCAAAAGTGCAACTATGACAAGTTCCCTTTCGATATAAACCTCGTTGATATTTTATCTCAACAATTATGTAGCGCGAGGGACCCGAACGAAAACCGATTGGGTGCGTCCGGACAAAAATCAAGCGTGCTGTGTTCAAGGGATCATTTTAATTCGTAATCTTCCTCTTGGTGTACAGAAAACTTGTCGTTTGCGGATGCGCGCCGAAGTTTCGCACAAAGTAGCGTGAAATACCGTAACGTCTGCACGACGATGGTAGCGACGTTCGCGACAGGTCCGCGCTGAATTACTTCTCGCGTCTCACGACTAGCCGGACAATCATACTTATTACGGTCCGTGCACGGCCGAGTCGGCTTCCTCTCGAGACAGAGCAATTACGCGCCAATTACCATTCCGATGCTCGTAAGAGCGCGCGATTATATTCTTATTAGAAATTATTATTGCGGCCGCGGTAATCATTACCGCGTTGCGACGCCACTTTTGTCGCTGTCGTCGTCGATGCGGCATTATACGAGCATGCACGATACTATCGCGCCGTGACGTTAGTTATTTGTTAGTTAATATCGCGCGGCTCGTTATTCTTGCGTCCGTCCTCTCTCGATCTCTCCGCGAAAGAAGGGGAAAAATCGTCACATGCAATTCGTGATGATTTTGCAGCATGGATTCTTTTTCACGGAGAGAATTTTATAGTAAGAATTACAATTGGATTTTATAACCGAGAGAAATAAATTGATATTCTGCAGTAATTCATTATCCTTTCATTTCATGTGCTACTTAGATTTTAGGAACTGAGATATGCTGTTAAAACATTTACTATGTTTTAAGCGAAATTTACTATGTTCTTTAGCAAGGTAGATAACCGTACTGACAGTCTACTGTCTACTGGAAAAACGTAGCAAAATTGAAAAGAATTTATATGAAAGAGAAAAGAAACTATAATATTTTCTCCGTGTTGGAGGAAGCAAATGAAAGCTCGCGGTACAAATTTTGTTTTCTTTTTTTTTTT